GGGCTGGGTGTGCAGGGCTCAGGTGAGCAGGGCTGTGTGTGCAGGGCTGGGTGAGCAGGGCTGGGTGTGCAGGGCTGGGTGAGCCGGGTGGATCTGCGTCCTCACTCCTCTGGGCTCTTGGGCCTCAAGGGGATGCCTTGAGCCAGGCTGACAGGACCCGGGCCAGGTTCTTCCTTGACGTGCCAGGTGGCCGGGGGGATTTTCTTTTTCCACCTCATCTTTCACCTGATCGCCTGCTGCATCGACCCGGCTGACCCCAACGTGCGACTCAAGAAGGATTATTCTCAGCCCATGCCCATCTTCGACAGATCCAAACACGCACACGTGATCCAGAACCATTACTGCCACCTGTGCAAGGTCACCGTGTGAGTACCCCGCCTTGCTGAGGCCCCGCGGTGTTGGGGTCAGCTCCAGGGGTGCGGGGGCTCAGGGAACTGCCACGGCTGCAACCGGCGCTAATGGGGCTTCCGGGGAGTAGCCCTGGCCTCGGTCTGTGGCTGAGGTGAACAGCCCCTAGTCCCCTGTGAAGGGGACACAGTGCCGGGCCGCCCCCACTCTGCAGGCAGGGCTGAGGCTGGAGGGCTATGTCTGCACTCAGGCATGGTTGATCCCCAGTGGATTTTGTGCACACAGGTCCCTCCCCTGGGGTCCAGGGGCAAGAGGGCACTATTGTTCTTGGGGATTTTCAAGACAAGCCCTAAGGAAAGAGGGAGGATGGACCCTATGTCTCCAGCGGTCCTGGGGCATCCGTGGTGGCCTAGGGGGCACCTGCAGGGCTGCTGTTGGCTGCAAGGGGGACCTGTAGGCACAGGTGGAATCCAAGCCCCCACTCAGCTCCGGGCCCCCTACGCTCAGGGCGGCCACGCCCAGTGCAGACACACCTCCTCCTGCTCTGTGGCTGCCTCGGTCCAGCTCCCCACGGGCCTCGGCACCTTCCCCCAGCCTCCTGTTCCCACCGGACGCCCCCCTCCCCAGGCCACAGAGGCCTGGTTCCCTCGAGGCGCCTGGCCCCCGGTGATGGGGCTGCAGCCCTGCCCCAGGCTGCAGGCTGTGGGCCTGACGGCTGCTCCCCGATTCTTCCCTCCAGGACCAAGAAAGCCAAGCACTGCATCGCCTGCAACAAGTGTGTGTCAGGCTTTGACCACCACTGCAAATTGCTCAACAACTGCGTGGGGAGCCGGAACTACTGGTGAGGCGCGCGGCGGGGCCGGGCGGGGGGATTCGGAAGGAGGGCTCCTCGGGGCAGCGTCCCTGTCTTGGCATGCTGGCACTCCATGCCTTCATGCCCTGGCCTCCCGTCTGGTTCTGGGGCTGTGGTGCAGCCGTCCCTGTACAGGCTCGTCTGCAGAGGAAGTCCCTGGAGGCCCCCATGTGGGCACCCGTGGGCCACACCGGCTGAGGTGGCCTGCCTGCGCTGTCCTGGGCCGGGCTGCCTTCTCTCTGCCAAGACTGTCGGCTTGTGGAGCACAGTGGTGGGGCCACGGAGGGGCAGTGGGCACCCAGCGCATGGAAGAGAGGTGCTTCCCTGAGCATTGTGGAGGATCCAGGGACTCTCAAGGCCCCATGTTCTGAGCCCCGGCTGTCCGTGGCACTTAGAGTTGTGAAGATCACCAGGGAAAAGAACCATGTGTGCCCCCAGCTACTCTGTGCTGAGCTGAAAGAGGCCTTGGTGTGGGCAGGAATGGGGCCAACGCTGTCTGGTGTCATGGGATGAACCGTGGGGTCCCTGCCCTGCCTCCCTGCCCTCCTGCCTTGAGCACAAAGTGTGTCCAGAGTAGCTGAGCAGCCCAGCAAGGACAGAGGACTGTGCCACTGCAGGGCAAGGCCAGAGGCCACGTGAGGCGGGAAGGGCTGGGAGACCCACCCGCCTCCCCCTGGAGAAGAGCAGCTCTGGCGGCCATGGTCGGGCCAGCTCCTCTGGGAGCCCTGGGCACCGCTTCCTTCCGGACTCTGTGCTCTGGTGCCTCGAGCTGGCTTATGCTCGAGGCCTGGTGGGGAAGGTGAGGGGCGAGGGCCCACAGGCGCGTGGGGAGAGGGCCTGCCTTCCCCAGGAGGGGTAAGGGAGAGGCGCTGTGTGGGCGCCCAGTGCAGACAGGTGCTGCAGCCTATGCGTGGGAAAGGGGCGTCAGGAGAGCAGGGCTGGGGGCACGGGTGCCCTCTGGCCCGGGAAGTTGACAGAGTTGACAGCAGAGCCCCTGAGAGGGAGGCTGTGTGCTGCTTCCTGGTGCAAGAGGAAGGGAGATGGAGAGGAGGAAGCAGGCGGCCGTGGCGTCCTGGGAAGACCTAGAGTGCTGGCCTCCGACTGCGGGCGCTGACCTGCTGACGGAGAGGGAAGAGGAGCCCTCCGTGAATGGCTCTGCCCGGCCCCATGGGCTTTGGGCTCTGCGGTCTTGGAGACTCACCTTTTTTTTATTGGATGAAGAGGGGAGTCCTGTACAGACAGTAGGGTGAAGATGAGGGGTCTTTAATCTCCGAGTGGGCTTAGGCCCTGGGGGGCTGGGGGCAGGGTAGGGTACCCGCTGCCTGGAGGGGTTGCTTCTTTGGAAACAAAAGTCAGGCATGAAAGGCCTCACCAGTCCTCTGCCCTGCGCGGCCACATCCACGCCAGGGAAGTGAGGCTCCAACAGGGCCACTAAGTGCTGGGGTCACAGCGCCTGTGCGGCCACATCCACGCCAGGATACCAGGCTCGGCACTTACCGGAGAGCATGTTGGCGACATCAGGGACCAGCACGCCAGGAGGCAGTGCTCGGGACCATCCGCCTGGTTGTCGCTGTGGGAGGGAAGCCAGTGAGAGGGAGCGGGAGTCGGGTAACCCCTGAGACCCTCACACCTGGAGCCGCCCTGCCCTGGGATCTTCTGGAAGACTCTCAAGACTCTTGGAGGGAGGAGGAGCGCCTGGAAGGCAGCTGCCTGCCCCCCTCTTCCCATGAACGTCCTCAGAAGACTGTGGGATTCATACTCTGGCTCCAGCTGAAAACATGAAAAGGAATTTCACAAGTTTAGGTGAACGGAATACACAGGATGAAGTTAAAGGAAATTAGAGGAAACTTTAAAAAATATCATATCGGTGGAAAGACCAAGGGAAGACACTTTGGCGAAATGAGGATGTGGATGAAGATGTTCCAGGAACTGCTGCGGAGAATTGGATTTTCTGGGTGGATCATTCTCGGCATCTTTTGAGCAAAGACGAGACTGGGGTGGTTTTGGGTCCACAGCGTGGATGTGGCTTTTGGCTCAAATGTGCACAGGACCCTTGGAGAAGGAGGCTGGGGCCGAGGCATGGCCAGGCTCCTCCACGGCCTCCTCAGCCCAAGTTCCCTTTGGGTGCAGAGATCCAGGTCCCTGAGTCCACAGGCCCATGGTGTGCCTGCCTCCTGGCTGCCCACAGGCCCTCCTGGGTGCCACGGTGCTCTTGTGGCCTTCACCTTCCCAGGCTTCAGTGCCTTTGCCTTGAGTGGTACCATGAGACCCCAACACAGACCAGGCTCAGGGCCCACAAGTGGACCCAGCCCACGTGCTCCTTGGCTGGGAGGGAGCCCCTGTCTGAATGAGGTGGGGTGGAGGGGTGCAGGCGGAGGCCACAGAGCTGATGCTGGGGATGCTTGTGACCCTCACGCTCCGCTGGCCAGGTGGGCTTGGCCGATTCACACTGTGTCTCTGGCCTCAGTTTCCTCACTTTTGAGAAGGGCTGGTTCCCACTCCTCACAACCTCCTTGTTCCTTGTGGGGTTTGCAAGAAGCACTGTGTGAATTGTCAGGTGGTGCGAGGCGGTGGGAGTGGGCCACAGCCGTCCCTCCCCAGCGAGAGGCCTGGAGACCCTGGGGAGTGTCACAGGATGGAACTGAGACGGGAGCCTGAGCTTCCAGTTGAGAGTGGAGTTTGGGGCCAGTGTCGGGCCTTGTGGATGCCCACACTGACCTGTCACCTCCACCGTGCTGCCCCCAGTGCCCACGCCCTCATCTGCCCCTGTGTACCCCGCCCCCACGCGCCCTCGCCTGCCCCAGCGCACCCCCCATGCCTGCCTGTGTGTCTCCCTGCAGGTTCTTCTTCAGCACCGTGGCCTCGGCCGTAGCTGGCCTGCTCTGCGTGATCGCCATCCTGCTGTACGTCCTCATCCAGTACATCCTGAACCCCTGGGTGCTCCGCACAGACCCCAAGTATGCAGGTACGTGGCTGCCGTGAGCCGACCTGGCCACAGCCTTGCTTCCAGTCGTCTTTCCAAGTGGCAGTATCGGTCTGGGGGTGGTTGGCCCCATTTGGCCCAGGGAGAGGCTGGGGTGGGCAGCCCCAGGCAGACGCTGACCTAGGCCAAAGGCAGCAGCCCAGGCCCACACAGCCCAGCAGCCCCCAGTGCCCAGGAGGCAGGCTCGGGACGGTACTGGCCACGCTGCTCTGTGGGTGCTGCCACTGCTGCCCAGGCCTCCACAGTCAGGCCTACAGCGCCTGTCGGCGTCCCTGTGGGATGTGGGAGTGGGGTGCTTGTCCTGCGCGGGTCACTGCTGCCCTGGCCTCCACAGTCAGCTCTGCAGCGCCTGCCATGCCTCCCCTGTGGGCCATGTGGCGGTGGATGAGGGGGGCGCCAGTCCTTCAGGAGCAGCCCGAGGGGAGGGGAGAGTGGAGGTCGGGCTGGGGTGGGGGCTGTAGGCTGTGGGGTGCTGAGGTTCTTGGCCAAGTGGGCCCCTAGGAACTGTTGCCTGCACTGAGCCACAGGAGAGATGTGGCAGCGGTGGACAGTGGGCTCCAGAGTCGAGTCCACGCCTAACCCAGATCCCGTGATGCCAGCGTCCTGGGAAATGTGTCTGTGGCTGTGACTTAGGATTTGAGGTCGGAGGATTGTGCTGGGTTGTCCCAGGGGCCCAAATCCAGCCCCGAGTGTGATTACAAGAGAAAGGAGAGGCGCTGAGGGAGGCAGCCCAGTGAGGACAGAGGCACGGTGGGGTGAGACGGCCACAGCCCAGGGTGGCCAGAGCCACAGGAACTGGCAGCGGTGGGAGGACCTCCATGGAGCCTCCGGAGGCAGTGCCTGGCCGGCAGCAGGATGTCAGAGCCCTGCATGGGACTGCAAGCGTCTGCTGTGGAAGCTGCCCCGTCCCCCCACACGCCCACTGCTTGACGTACTGGTGGCTGCAGTGCCAGGACCCTGACCAGGAGGACCTGGGCCAGGCAGCCCTCGGGTGTGGGTCAGGGCTGCCAGTCTCAGCCCCAGGTGTGGCTGTGCCCACACTGCACATGGCCCGGGTGTTGAGAGAGGCAGGACCCACATGACCCTTGCTCCAGAACATTCCGGAGCCAACATAGTGCAATGTTTTTCTCAAGGATGAGCTTTATCAGCTCCCTAGTAAAGGCCCTAAAGCTTCTCCGTCCACCTTGAAGCGTGATGGGTGCCACCAGGGCCTCACAGGTGCCCCGAAGCACTTTCTGAAAGCCAGCTCCGCCCTGAAAGCCAGGTCCTCAAGTGACCTTGAGCCCAGGACCACACCTGTTGTCTTCCTCCCTCTACGGCAACTCACCTTCCCCAGCAGCCTCTGCGCTGTCTGGGCGCTCACTCCAGGGGATGCCAGGAGAGGGAGAGGGCAGAGGCAGCTGGAGCGGCTGCACTGGCTTCTCTCCTGGAACACGCTGCTTCTGTGTGGCAGGGCAGGGGCTTCGGTGAGTTCGTGGACCATGGATGGAGCCATTTCCTGGGTTTGCTGTTCTGGAAGATTCTGCAGGGCTTCAAAGCCAGTGGGGCCCCGAGCCATGCAGCTCCTCGCTCTCATGGGCTGGACTCGTCATGACATCACTGGTTAAGGGGGCAGCGTGGGTCCAGCCTGGCGGTGCAGGGGCAGCTGCAGCCCGTCGTGCCGAGCGTGGTGTTTGCCTTCTAGGATGGCCCCCAAGGCCACCAGTTCCAGGCAGCGCCCATCACCCAGACACATCCAGGCTGAATCCACCCTCTGCCACCCTGCCTCACACAGCCCCTCAGCATCTTTCTCACGCCCGATTTTTGGAAGTGTTGTTTTGGGTGTTGGCAGCCCCAAGTCACAGAGGACCGTATCTTAGAAATGCCCCCAGGCGAGAGCTCTGGCTTTCCTGTTCTATTTGAAGGCGGCTGTTTTAGGGTGCAGAGCGTTCAGGGAGGCAGTGTGGCCAGTGAAGAAGGGGTGGGTGCTGGGGCCCGCGGAGCCGGCAGGCATGGTGACCCCTGCAGTTAGTGACCCTGTTGCAGCCTCGCCTCCGGATCCGTAAAGCTGGGATGATAACCACCACCAGCAGGCAGCGGGGCCTGAGTGGCACCCAGGTAAGGGAGGCGTCCACCTGGGCAGGGGGGCACTCAGGTAAGGGAGGCGTCCACCTGGGCAGGGAGACACTCAGGTAAGGGAGGCGTCCACCTGGGCAGGGGGGCACTCAGGTAAGGGA